CACGGAGCATCTCCCATAGGAAGACATGGAGCGCACCACATTGTGCAATATGGGAGGAGAGTTCTGACATATTTCTTGCTGTGTATTGATTTTAATGAGTACATTGTTAACAATACATGGCTCCCATTGCCATATATTAAAATCAAACAGAATACCAACCAATATCATGCCATAGAGAGCGCTGTGCAATGCAAGTAACCGTAGAGATTACAGCAGCCATATGCAATTAAGTTAAATTGAACTCAGTTTATTTGCAATTGTGCATTCATTGCATCGCAATGTAAATAATGCAACTTGATTCATGCATGGACCAAATACGATTGGCGAAGCTACAAAGGCCGCTGCGAAGCCACAATTACTCCACTATTCTAAAAATAACATAAGCTCTATATAATCGGGTAAAGAAAGCTTCGTTTCAACGGGGCCTTCTGTCACGCAATTTTGGAGACTCTATGGCCATACAGTGTACGAACAATGTAATATTTGTTCTTGTAGAGTACAATATATGTGTTGCGTAACTTCATTATAATTACGAGCAATTATTTTTTCCACTGCTGGATGAAGGCCTGCCATCACGCTTGGTCTTGCGACACAACCATTCGTCTGACGTGAAGGGCTTCGCGGTTGTGCTGCTGCTGCGCGGCTCTCGGTACGCATGTGGTTCGGCACGACGTCCGACGTTTCGCTCCATGTGCTGGCTGGGAGCTTATTCAGGAATGAAATCGTTAATGAACTGAATATTTTGAAGAAGAAAATAACATCAGACAGCAACTCACGTCCTTCCCCCGCGCCTCTGATCAGCGCGGTTGGCTACGTGCGAAAGAAGTTCAACATACATACATCAATGCCTGTGCACGAGCTGATTCCATCGCTCCACATGACATTCTTCATTCGTCACTCGGGTCCAGGAGGCTCGAGTTTGTGGCCACTGTTTTTGTTGAGTTGCAGGAAGCCGAGAGGAACCCCGGCAAAGAGAAAACCCGGCCAAATCCGAGGGAAGAGCACGACACGTCTGCACAGCTGGATGATCAACCGAAGGTAAACCCAACCGGGCATCACGTTGACCCTGCCGGCGAGTGTCTCGGGGGACATCTCAACATGAGTTCATCAACCCCACCCGGAGGCTGCTAGGATGCCATGGTCTCTGGAGTGACAATTAAGATTCTGGTCTCGGCACGCATGGATCAATACGGTTTATTTACACCTAACAAGGACGATAGAATACAGTCTGAAGAGAGAAAAAAGAAGCGAGGAGAGTTGCATTAATTGGAGTTACAATTTAAGCAACAAAAAACATATTTTTTAACAGGACATATGATGTACGTCTATTAACTGCGATTCTTACATGTGATTGTTAGTTTTAACGTGTGGCTAGTGACACTTAAGTCTGTGCTCTCCAGTTATCTCGGTGCAAAGTGCTTTTTCCCAATCCTGGCCAGCTGGTTCATAACCCTAATAAACCAAATGCGATAAACGAGCACACGGCTTAGAGAGCGTACACACAGACGTTCATTTCACGATTCGTGTCACCTGGGGAGGGTTGCCACGAGCAGAGATGATGGCCGATGTTCGTCACTCGCGACAAGAGTGGCGACCAAGGAACCGAGGGGCAGGCCAGCCACCACGCCCGAGGAAACGGAGCAATGAACTCGTGTGCAGTGCCACGTGTGTATTGCTATTTTGGGGAGTGGTGGCGCAGCGGTTAGCGCGCTGCGCTTCGAACCCGGCGAACCGGATTCGATTCCCGCTCACGGCCAGCACCAGTGACGATTATCTGAACCGGTGATGGGCCTCCCCTAGGTCGACTCAGCCTCAAATGAGTACCTGGTGTGGTGGGTAAACATCGCCACGAGGGAGACAAAGGCGGCCGGGTGTGGTTCTGGCCAACCACCCACTCGCGTACTGTGCCGGCCTTCATAGGTTGCTCGCTAACAGCACTTGCTCCTACTCTTAAGGCTATGCGGGTGATCTGTGTCTTTGTTTATTTTATCACGTAATGCCCACTGAGCTATGTAGCTCTTTTTCACAAGCGACTTGGCCACAAACGATTTCTCAACGAAGTGGCTAATTGTATGGAAATGTATAGCAGCCACAAATTCTAAACGCGTGATATTGATTCTGAATGTGAAAAAAATCCACGCGACCACCGTGGAGAAGATGCAAACTCCAAATCAACAGGCGTAAGAGTCGGCATCGAACCCAGGCAGTTAACATCTCACCACATTGCAAGTCTGTGAGCGATGGTGACCGATTGAGAAGTGAATTTATCGTGGATAATGATGATGTGAGTTCGTGCTTATTATTTCGCTACTGCCACGTTTACTGTTCCCATTGAGCTTCACTCGACCATTTCTCCACCCATGTTGAGGAGCAGGTCTACCATACTGCATTCAACCACCACCACACTGCAGGTCACACTACTCTTCCTTCCGCTGCCTTCCTCACACTGCTCGACTTTGTAAGTCACTCCCGTCGTCTCGTCCCAAGCTCTTATCGCCTCGCTCAATAAAAAAAAACACCCGGTGTTAACTTCCCATCTATTCGACCTTCACGAGTGGCGTTTGTTGATGTCCGGTGCGGGCCCCCTTTAGACCTGTGCTCAGCAACTGTGATTTTAAAAACAAAAATAGATCAAAGTAACCACTGGGGCATTGTCGCTTTATCGGTGCGGTGTTGCCATCAGTGTCAACGTCATTTCATGTTGGGGGGGGCGGGGGGGGCAATGACTTTATGAAGCAGCACGATCGCGAAAAAACGACGACACATTTGCGCGCGGGGTGAACCAACAAAGTTGAGCTTTGGGCACGTCGTGCCTGAGCCTAAGGATATCCTTGAGAATCAGAATAGAGCTCCATTAAATAGGCTTTAGGGGGATAACTCGCACGGTAGATTCGATGACTTGAACTTTCCGCTTTTGTCCTGCGCAGGCCAAATCCACCTTTGCGTCGGCGCGACCCCAGAGGACTTAATAGTGGAGTGTTTGGCTTTAATTTCCCAGGTTACAAATACCAAACAGGCGCCACCTCGAGCCCGCGGGGGTTCAGCATTGCATTACTGGTAGACGTCGCGACAGCAAAATTAATTTCCTTACGCATCGTAACGTTTAAGCATTGTTTATCAATCGTGTTCTTTTTGGGTGAGGGGTTTGACGGGGGTCATTATTTTCAACGAGATTTTGACACTGCCCCCCATAAGTATCACAAGGGTACGCGGAGGTTCACTTTAATTTGCGATGGAAATAAAATGTTTATATCGTTTAGTAACCTGTTGCTTGCTAGCCTTGTGGTGTTGTTGATCGATAACCGGATCAACCAGAATCGATTACCAGTTCGGAAAGTCAGGCACCGGTGTGTAAACGATTCGAATACGAGTCACAGATGCGCGGCTTGGCACGTGCGAGCGTACAAACTGCATGGCGGCAGGCCTATGGGTATGTAAAGAAGGATAAAGGAGCGGCCCCGCAATTGCCTGCTCACGCCGCTGAAGGGAACTCCGAACGGTACTTGGCCTACTCTTCCACGCCGACCAGCCGTGCTGGATGAGGCGGACGCAGCCGGAACAAACCGGGTTGCACTCCACACTCTTTGGTTTATTTCGGTAAAGTCACGTAGGTACAAAATAAAATAAATCACGACGTTTCGGGCGCAACACGAGCGTCCGTCATCGGATGGGAAAGCAATGGTCTGCTGCTGAGACAAGCTGTTTTAAAAGGTTTGAAATGGGTGTAGCCTAAGGGTCATAAAGAAATGAACTGGGCTAGTGATGTTGTTAGAAATGAGCACGTAACTGTAAGATAGGAGGAGAGCGGCCTCCTCGACGAGGGCACGGAAGTGGCTATGTTCATGTGAGAGATTAGCATGATGTTAATGTAAGATCGAAGAGTGGTGCCATCCAAAAGCTGCGCGATGTCAGCAGACATCGCGCTGGTCGCAGCGGCTGTCGCGATTTTCACCTGAAGACGGGCGCGTGTGTTGCGTTCGAAACGTCGTGATTTATTTTATTTTATTTCTACCCCTACGTGACTTTACCGAAAGAGCCAAAGAGTTATGGATTCCTGCAGTCACGAAAGCTTCAAATCAAGATTGGGTTGCGCTCATTCCTACCGCTGGACGGATAGACTGCATATCTGGAAGATGGAATCGAACCGGAATACTCTGGATTGCAGCGTCCTGACCATGCCACCACTAATCTTAGAGTTGATTTGTAAGGATCAGACAAATGTGTGCTACTGGCTTGGAACTTATTATTGAAAGTAAGATGAATAACAGTGTCCCCTGCTAACGTTCATTGCCAAAGACGCAAACTGTGTAGATTGCTCACACAACTTGTAAATTGCTTAAAATGAACACGTTTGTGGGATGGAAACATGACATCCACACCGTGCTGATCATGGTGCTTGTTGACCCTACTTCAGCTAGCTAGTTGGGAGCCCAGAACGAATTCAGCAAGCGCTCGCCAACTCGTGTAGGCCGTGGCCACCGATGAAACTCGGGTCGCCGGGTTCACGGTGCAGTTTGCTGCTCCCACCGAAGAGCCATCGCGAACACGCGCTCCAGACCCGAACTACGACGCGATTTGCAGAGCTCCATTCCAAGACACAATACATCTCCGTGTCCTCTCACCGACTTTGGCTCAACGGCTATCGACCGTCGCTTAAAACGTTTTCCAGTGCCCGGTGGCTTACCCATAGCACTCCCTCGCGCGCCATGCACGAGATGCCCCGAGCGACGGTTTCAGTATTTACGATGAGAAATGCGAATCCATGAGCTTGTATTTTTTATCGGCCTCGGCCATGGAGAGCGAGAGGGCGAGATGGAGAACGCGTACGTTGCCTTGTGACCCCGTGGCTAAAGTTGGCGGGTCACGTGTGATGCTGCTGCTGCTTGCCACTTGCTGCCAGCCCTATCCCTGCAGCTGTGGTTTTTGTTGGGTGCTTGGTGGGTGGGCATAAAACCGGTGGTAGCCTCGGACAAACCATCCGCTACCTCAAGGAAAATTAAGCATCCCAACAACACACACACACACAAACGATGCCAAACGTGGGACCTGTGGGCGTCATCACGGCGAATCGCATTGACGGGGCTTAAGCGAGCGCAATAGGCTTACTTTATATAATGAAGTCCCTTGCGAGCCGCCCGCCCGCCCGCACGCCCCAAAACCAGTCCCTGGCGACACCAAAGCGAGTCGTCGACGTGATGGGAAGTCTACCGGAGCCTACCTAACAAACCAAAGGCACCGCCAACACTCCGCGCCGCTGCCGCTGCTGCTGCGCAGGCCAGCCGCACCGCGCGCCGGCGCACCACGGACCCGTGGAGACCCCCACGGATGTGTAGAGACCCCCACGGATGTGTAGAGACCCCCACGGACGCGCTGCTGCATATTGACCCATAGAACTACGCACGTATATATATTTTAAAATTGTTGTTCCGAATCGGAAAAGCGAATAAAGATGGGCAGCCAGAACCAGGACAGCGTCGAGCAATTTTTGGACTCCAACCCGAACTTTGCGCAGGAATACTTCAACAGGAAGCTGCGCCCGGGGTTGATTTCGGCCATGTGCGACGAACGGACGACCACCGCAGCGCACTCGTACGTGGACATCTCCAAGGTGGAGGAGAGTGAGATCCTCTTCGACCTGGTGTCCAACATGTCCGAGACCATCAACATGGAGAAGTGCATGCACAAGTGCCTGCGCCACCTGGCTGGCCTCATCGACGCCGACCGCTGCAGCCTCTTCATGTACCGGCAGCGCAACGGCACGCCCGAGCTTGCCACCCGGCTCTTCGACGTCACCAGGACCTCGTCGCTCGAGGAGTGCCTGGTCCAGCCCGAGGCCGAGATCGTGTTCCCGCTGGACTTGGGAGTGGTGGGACACGTGGCCCAGTTCAAGAAGACGGTGAACCACGACGTCAGCGAGGTGCGTGGTGCGCCCTGCGAGCGGGGAGAGGAGGGCGGTGGCGTTGCAGAGCGGCCAAGCGGCCGCTGTTGCCGTCCCGGGCCACGAGAGCGACGTTGCTCACGAGACGTCGACGTCGCGTAGCTCACTGAAAGGCGCCGATAATAAATTGCGAATATTTTTTTTTTAGAATAGCCGAGATTGTAAAAGGTAACTAAAATAATAATTATATCAGTCAATAATACTGGCATCAGACATAACCTTCGAAGTATTTCCAGTCGGTGGCCGTAAAATTACCTATTCAAGAAATTGCATCAAATAAGCAATCCAATGCACGAGCCACAATCGGCCTTATGTTGAACATGATCAGAAAATTATATTCTGATCAAAATGTATGTGCTTAAGTCAATACTGGTGAGCTGCGAGATGTTAATTGATTCAAGCAAGCCTGCCTCTGCTGATGAGACATTGTCCTGTCAAAACCGGTTCCGCATTTTGCTTGTACTGAATTAATGCTACTAAATGTAACTCTCAGAAGGCCGTGGGATTGTGCAAAGGGTACTTTTACGTTTTTATGGAGAGACAGATTATCTAGGCGACGTGTTGTCCGCTTATCTATGTTTAAAAAGTTGCTAATGCAATAGAATGAATCCACTCTATTGCAATTGCAAGTACTGCACTGTAGGCTTTGCAGTGCTGTACCAATATTCTCGGTGTGCTTATTATCAACGTGCTCGTGCTCATTCAATTGCTAAACTTTTTTTTTACGGAGTAAACGAGAGTGGCATATAATTATAAAGCAATGCGAATCATGCCTCCATTGTTTGAACATAAGACACATCTTCATTGGCGACTCTCGGATCAGTTTTACAAAGTTTTAAAATCATCATTTAGTGGTCTTAGGAAAGGCCACAACAGTAATGCACCTTTTTATTTCGCAAGGAAGGCCTCAATGAATTGGAAGTAGATTTTTCACAAGAGTCCTGCATTGCAATATTTGGTCAATTCCATTGATGAGCGTTTGGGTTTCATGTGGGAAGTAAATCGATTTACTTAGAGAAAACCCACCGCGGGCATACAAACGGATACCATTCAACGTCCTGCACAGACTGATTTAATAATGCCTGTGCTGCCATCTCCCGGCCACGTTGCCACTCTCGGCCTACAACGTTTTGAATTGCCAGGCAGTGTCCCATACAAAGACTAAACGACTCTCAGCTCTGCGACGCTTCTGCGGTAAAGACAAGGTCGTGTGCGTCAAGGGCGATGTGGTCATCAGCGAAATGCCGTTAGGCTTCTTCAACGTGCGTTCGGTTAAAATAAATATATTTAAAGTTAGGCTGTGTGCTTGGTTTGTAATCCTGGTTGTGAACGACCGGAGAATCCCTCGTATCCGCGGTGATTGTGGGTAAACAATAACTCGGATCCTACCCCCCTTATCCGTGCGCTAAAAACTCGCGGATAATGAGATGAATTTGCCGCGCTAATCCTCTTATCCACGAACAAAAATGGGCATTTTCGCCGACCTTGCAGCTGCCGTGGAAAAGATGAGTTGCGGGTAATAGGGCCGCCGACGAGAGGAGTTCTTCTGTCTTCACGTTTGAAAATTATATAAGTTGTATTTAAAGGACACGTATGGCGGCTATAGGACCCAACTTTATGGCTAAAAAAAAAAATCATTCTCTTAGATGGCATGTCTTTCAACTGCCGAATGCCATCACGATCGCGATGCAGTTGGCAGTCTTCTTTAAAAATCTTCTTTCGTTACGGCTGATGGTAGCTGCAGAGCAACAGCGAAACAATGTCGCATTCAGGTGGCCAAGCCAAGGCAACCGCATCAGGAGTAGCGGAGCAGCCGCGTGTCGCTGCGATGTCTCCTTCATACCCACCGCATTGCCCCTTCGAAATTTGCCGTTGCAAGCGCGGCGACCTTGAGGCAGCCTCGGCGATTAGAACTCATCGTAATCAGATCACCAAAAATAGATGCAGATAAGCATGCGAGGTTCAGCATTACACAAGCCGTGCGCCTGTGTCATTTTGGAACGGTATCTCCAATAAATTGCCGTTTTATTTGTACGCTTCGTTGCTGCTCGCCGTTGGCAGCGCTGTTGCACAATAAATGTGTGTTCTACGTGTAAAAGGATGAATGTGCCCCCCCCTCCGAAAGTGATTCAAAGTCACACTTGATAATCAGCAAAGTCGAATCCGATGTCACGACGACGTAACATGACGCCATGCACAGTCGACGCGACATGTTTAATCGTTCAACAGCGATAGCGCAATGGACACGGTGGCTTAAATGGCATCAGGCTGGGGTCTGTTCCAACTAACGATGTCCACGCCCGGCACACCACAGCACCTCCAGGATACCGCTCGCTGTGGCTGTGGCTGCTGCTGTGGTTTCTAGCCACCTCCGGGGTAGCCACGCTCCGGAAAAAAAATAAAAAAATGAAAAAATTCGGCGTAGAAAAATGAACCCCTGCGTTTACGCACATAAAAATGCAAAACGCCTTCCACGTCTTGAAACCTGTTGCGGGATGTTGTCATCGTACAGCCAAAGACTGTGTGTGATGTGGGGAGCGGTAGTGTGGCAGTTAGCGTGCCGCTCACGGCCAACACCGGTGACGATTATCTGAACCGGTCCTGGGCCTCCCCTAGGTCGGCTCAGCCTCAAATGAGTACCTGGCACGCTGTGTAAAAGCATCGCCACTGGGGAGACAAAGGCGGCCGGGCGTGGTTGTTGGCCACCCACCCCCATACCGTGTCCCGTGCCACGGCCTTCGCGGGGGCTGCTGATGGCTGAACAGCGCTTGCCCAAACAGTCTGTGAAGGCTACACGGGGAGGGGTGAGATATTTGTCGTCGGTGTGGTGTGTGTGTGTGTGTACGCTCAAGGGCAAGCTGTTCAGCAACTTTGTGGACAAGCTGACGGGCTACACCACCAAGAACATCCTGGCGACCCCGATAATGAACGGCAAAGACGTGGTCGCCGTCATAATGGCCGTGAACAAAGTGAACGGGACGGCGTTCACAGCGCTGGACACGGAAGTAAGGTCACCGTTGTTGTCTGCACCTCATCAAACCCCCCCACCACCACCTTCCAACAACCCCCATCTGCAATGACCCGACCTATCAAGGTCGATACGATGGAAACATAGGCAGGAAGACGGTTTGGCAATTCTGGCAAATCGCCCCGGTGAGGCTGGTCGCTGTAATCACCAGCGAAAGGTCTCGGTACTCGCAATTGTCAATTCGGTGGAGTTTACCCTCCAACACACAACCAGTGTACTGAAGTAGTAACTAAATTGCTCGTTTTGTTCACGTGACAAATCTTACTAGTTGGCAGTGTCGGGTGGTGGTGGGTTAACGACACATTCATATTGACGCGATCTCACCCAAAACAATATTAACGTAGGCATGACATCTCCTTCACGTCACTGTCCCACCACGTTAAACAATGAACGTCTATTTTTTTTTAAAAACACTTCCTGTCAACCGCTAAACGGGCCTTCTGGGAGTACATTGGCTCAATATAAGCGAACGATGAAAAGGTAGCAACATGCAGCGTCCTATAGCAGTGCGGGATTAAGCTAGTGCGGGGCCTGTAGCGTACGTTATATAGCGGCCCTAAATAAAAAAAAAACACATTAAAACACATACATTTTTTACTTGCATAGTAAAGTAATTGTATTTTTTCATTTGCTATACAGCCAGATAATATGACAAATCGCTAACCTTAAACATCCAGTCGTTCATAAAAGTTGAAGGCAGTATAGTACTATGGTAATAGAGCAAGTGCAGAATCACTGAACAGGAATTGAAAGAATTCAGTGCGGGGCCCTTGACCCATAGCATATGCTACTTTTTGCTACTAGGATAATCCGGCACAGTCCGGTCGGCAATCAGATTTGCTTGAACCGATGCTGGCGAGCTTCCAGATGTTATAGTCAAGGATGCCTCTCCGTTATATATGAAGTTATATATATATAAAGCGATAGGAATACATTACTTCCATACTTGATTATCTTACAATTGGAACGTTATATAATAATGCCAAGCCACTGCTGCATGAAGCCCTCCCCACACTATTTCAGTCATGGGGGTTGTTTGACCAATACCTTCACCACAGTGATCAATCCAAAATGGTGAAGGGGGAGAGGCAGAGGCCCAGGCAAAAGTGAGTGGCACAGAGTAGCAGCGTCTGTTTTCATAGGGGGCGGGGGACTCAGAGTGGGGGTGGCCACACAGAAGTCACGTGATTCACGGGCTACTTGGGCTGATTTAGAGACAGTATATACTGTAGATCTTGAAACAATAACCTTTGGATCACCTATATTGGGATTAACTCAAAGTTTCACCACCCATGCCTGCCATATTGCTGCTACCAATGTGTATACAACTCATGTTGTGTATCTCGATTAATATTATTTTAATGTTGGCATATTCATCTTTGCCTACATCACTTGAGATATTACTCGCCAATTATGCTAGCCATCACCAGAAATCAAACTCAGGTGGCTGGATTCATAGATAGCGCAGTGCCTTTTCCAACCTGCACTGACCAGGGGTGCCGCGGTGGCAAGATGTTAACTACCTTGCCTGGAATTCAGGAGATTGTGGGTTTGATCCTGACCATGAAGCCTGCATTTTGGAGTTTGCATGTTCTCCCCGTGGTCACGTGGATTTTTCTCCGGGTCCTCCAGTTTCTCTCTACATTTACATTTTTTGGCTGCTATAAATTTCTACATTATAAGCCATTTAGTTGAGCTATCATTTGCGGCCAGGTCACTCTGAAAAAGAGCTAATGAGCTCAAGTGGGTCCTACCTGGCAAAATAACAATATTGAGTTTTTAGTTTAGTTTAAAAGTACGGACAAACAACCCCTGGCGAGACTTTCATTCAGCAGTGGATTGACATTAAAGCTGAAATTTCCCATTTACTATCGCGCTCTGGAATAGGAAAGAAGGGCAGCAGAGATGGCAGCTGACGAACCCTCGAGCGGAATCCATTTTCTTGTAAACACAAACGGAATCATGACATTTTCTTTGCGTTTTTATTCCGCAGGTCTTCCTGAAATACCTCATCTTTGCCTCGGTCTGTTTGAAGACGTACTACCTCTCATACATGCACGCGTGCGAGACACGGAGGGGCCAGGTAAACAACGACACTTCGTCACCGCACGCTTGAGCCAATCACAAACTCTCCCCGTTGACTTGTTAAGTGTTCCATTTTTGTATATATAAAAGAAAACTACCCAGCACAACTGAAAAAAATAGTGTGCAGGTTGGAATCCAATACGAATTATAATGCACACCATAGCATCGGTCGGTTCCCCCATCATACCATGCACGTCACGTGATGTGCATCATCCTGCGTGTATGTCAAGCACACAACCTTGTTGTTGCACAGCTGCTCAAAAAAGTCATGCCTGAAAAATATCATGGCAACTCTCATTTGCAAGTGACCTGCGCATGAGCCTTATCTATATATTTCTTTACAGAGCTGACATTTCCTCTCTCTTCAATTCAATGTTTATTTGTTCCACAGAAAGTCCCCTGCAGTCAGTTGAGTCCATCTCCTTGCTACCACTCGAGAACACGTGGCTTTCATGTCACGGGGCGGCTGTTGTGGATTTGAACCCACGATCTCAGCGGCGCGCCGGCTCAGCGCTCCGAGGTGGTCGCTATTAGCTCGCCGGGCCAAGTGGCCCTGCTCGTGAACTCCGTGCGGACCACGTGGCTGCAGTCCGACTCTGCTCTGTTGCAGGTCTTGCTGTGGGCGGCCAGCAAGGTGTTCGAGGAGCTCACGGACATCGAGCGACAGTTCCACAAGGCCATGTACACCGTCCGCGGCTACCTCAACTGCGAGCGTTACTCCGTCGGTCTCTTGGACATGACCAAGCAGAAGGTTTGTTGAGGAAGTGAAATATTCCACATCAGCGACAGGGGGGATCCTCCAGCATGCAAGCCCAGGTATGGCCCGTGATTAAATTTAATAAGGCTCACAGCCACATGAGGCCTGTCATTTAGAAAAGGCCTGCAAACTGTACTAAGCCATCACCACAATCTTCTTAACCCCTCTAATCAGGTATTAGAGGGGGGGGGGGTATTTGAAATTTGGAAACGTTGTTTTCATGATTGTCTTGCGCTCAGTCTCAAGTTATTTTTCTCAATATTGTTGGGTAACGACGGTGCGTATTAATGTGTGGACCACCAAACATGTTTGGCAGTCCTATTCAGCCCTCGGTGAGGTATAAAGGTTCCCCACCCGGGGTCTGCGGGTGACGAGACAGTGACAATCACTGCAAATCGTTCTGGAGTCGAGATTATTCAGGAGCCTGGCGGAGTTCAGGGTTCAATGTCTATGCAAATTTACACTTATGAGGAGGGATGCTGTGGTGGTATCGTGGGATTCAAGCTTTTCACGTCTACATTCTCTCTCTCTCTCTCTCGGTCCTGGTAACACATATCAATACATCATCATCATCTGCCTTGGTCTGTTAACTCCTGGACAAAGGCCTCTCCGTGCCACAGCCATCACTTATGGTGATGTGATGGCACAATCCATCTCGCTCCTGGACACGAGCCGATCTTATTGGCTCCATCTCCGCGGTGATCCTCTCGGCCGTATTTCCCTCCTCTAGATGCCATTCGGCGAACAGTATCAGTCGAATCCATGAGCCGTGATGCCTTCTAGCGATGTATCTACCCAAGCCCACTCATCAATACATGCTCATTTTCAAATAACAATACACAAATTAAGCGTTTCCTTTATCTAGAAAAGTTCCACTGAATCCCAACACCAGGGGTCAGCAACCAAAACAACAAAGGAGAGGTATTTTTTTTTCCGAATTCGGTAAACAACTCAATATTTCTCGAGCCGTAATGCACGTGAATACCAGATGGTTTCCCTTAATAAATAAACGTCACGAAGCAGTCCTTAAAGAGCTGCAGGTTAATAATTTAATAATAATCATTTTTATTTATAAAGCACCCTTGAACAGTCGTTCTCAGGGTGCTCGATTGCCGGACCGCTGCCCTCGACTCGTATTTCTCAGAAACGGATTGGTCCACACCAGAGACAGCTTTCTTTAGAGCCTAGTCTCAAACAGTGTTAGACCACAGGACGACTTTTCAAAGACAATGCATATACTACCAGAGCATTGTTTTTTATTGTATGTTCACCACAAGTATGAAGTGTGGTTAATGCAGACGTGATTCCTTGCAAAAGGTTTCAGTTTGGTGATTTAACATTTTAACACAAACTGTTTTATTGCCAGAAAGGGTAAAACCTATTGTTATATTTTGATACTGGCAAGGGAGGTCCCATGATGGTCTGTAAATGCGTTCGTGATGTTCTGACCACCGCTTATGTGGCCCTTGCCTTGCAGGAATTTTTTGACGAGTGGGCCATTCAAATGGGCGAGGTGGCACCGTACAAAGGCCCCAAAACTCCGGACGGAAGGGTGAGTTTTGCCTGCCGGAAAACGAAGTCTCGCATTTTTACTTTTTTTAAACGACAACGCTTGCGCGCGCCCCTTGACGAACCGTCGTCCATGTATATGTACGTGCGTTTGCACGTTTAACTTCCTTCGCATGTACGGACAATTCAGCCGCCGCTTGTTTTTTTTTTCAGGAAATTCACTTTTACAAGATCATTGACTACATCCTCATTGGCAAGGAAGAAATCAAAGTCATCCCGTGAGTTACTCGGACAGACCCTGCTTGTTAACGTCTTGCACTCCAGTCATACCACTGCCTACATTTCTCATAACGTGAAATTCCACTTGTCATCGATTAAATAGTACTGTATTTGTTATGCCAGATCCCAAAATCAAGGACATTTATTTTGGAGGCGTAATGCTTCACATATAAATGGAATATCACATGTTCTTCAAATAAGTATATAAATATTCTTAGCTCTTTCAGTAAAGTCACGTTGACCGTTTGTGTTATGGTCGAAACGTCGTGAGAATTTTTATTGTTTTATATATATATTTTATTATTTTATTGTTTCCCTTCAACGTGACTTTACCGAAAGAGCTAAGAATATGAATTACTGCAGTCACGAAAGATTCAAATCAAAGTATATAAATACTCAACACCGTTACAGCGGATAATGCCAAAAAGGCAACAGTGCAGCAAAATCCATTTTTGTATTGTACTATGCTCCAACAGCTATGCCTGCCACCTTCACCAGCCAGTAATGACCAGTGTGGTGAAATATGATCAAATAACCCACACAACCGCCTGCTGTATGGGGAGGCCCTCACCCAGGAGTGGATTTACAAACGGGCTGCATACGCACATGTGCCACTACAGTCTATTCCAACACGTACGATGGTTCATGATCGGTATCTATTGGGTTTGGTCGTTCTCTAAAAATGTGCCGTAAACCCTCCTCCACCCGGCCGACACGGCCAATGAATAAAAGCGACACGTGAATCAAACGTACTTCAGTAGCACGATCGCTGTTGTTGGCGGATGATCTCACAACATTTAAACGGGTACGCCACTTCGCTGGAGCTTACATCTAGAATCTCGAGATGTGACGCTGAGTGTGAACTCAAGTGCATTGTCTTCATGTTAAATGTTGTTATCCTGACATGAATCCACGACGGTGCTGTTTATAATAATTAACTCCGCATTTTAATCCGTAGCGCTCGAGAACATGTTCACGTCACAATGTTTGTTGTTATTATGATGAACGCGTCGCAATAGAATCGTGTTTGCTTTTGTGATATATGCTGTTTAATAATATTCTGCAATTTTTATTTGTCTTGAACATCTGCTGATACGATTTTTTTTATCTGTACCGAGGTTTCCCCTGAGGCTCTTACGCTGCCTTAAGTGCATTGAATTGAAATAAGAGAATACACTTTTAAATACCTTGCAACGTGCCACTTTTGTCAAGAGGTCGGAGAGAGATTTCCTGTCAAAAAGCTGATTAAGGCCTCAGTTTTGAGCTCTTTCAAATGCCAGATGTTGCGTAGCTTTGAGATATTCGAAATGGCGCCAGACGTCACATCGCTTCGAGATCTTCCAGTGACCTCAAAATTATTTATTGTCACAATCACATGTCCACTCGGGAAGGTCCTCGCCATTATTGTTCAACGTGCATTTCCATGACTGAAATTAAAAACGAAGTAAGTAGCGCCACCTGTGCGGTGCAACCGCACGGAGGCCCACAGGTCAGGGTGGGGGGGCCCAGGAGCCAGGCTATGAAGAGGGGGGGGGGGATTGGACTGCGCGGTGGGTGGGCGGGAAAAATATAATTTAATTCCTAATCATAATATTTATTTATACTGGAGAAATCCGATTAGCTACGACGCTCTTTTTCACAGATGTCCATTAGGCGCCGATAATAACTTCAAAATAACAATTAAAAAAAATACACGACAGTAGTGCAATGTACAAGAAAGGCCAACATCACCCACAAGCATACAAAACGAAACAATGTTTTATCCCACCAGTCGAAGCCCACTGAGGTATTAACTTATTTTTCAAGAGCAACCTGGCCATAAATGATAGCTCAACAGAGTGGCTTATCATGTGGAAATATATAACAGCAAAACCATCAAAATAATCTGCACCATGGGCCCGTGCCAACCATGCTACGCCACCGGGAAGGGATCGTGTTGCTTTAGATACTTTTGATTCTGCCCCACGCGATATATGAGGTCAGGATTAAGGCCAAACGAAGAGTTATAAAAAACTAATATTTGTAACGAATGCCTCTTTCCTTTTCACAGAACTCCACCAGATGACCACTGGGCCTTAGTCAGCGGCCTTCCAGTCTACGTGGCAGAGACTGGCTTTGTAAGCTGCCTCCTGTTCTGCAGAGGGTGGGGGGCATACGATAATTCATACGCAGGGCATGCATCTCCCTCGTAAGGTTTCCTAAATTGCTGTCCAGTCAGATCGATGGGTTCGTAGATTTCAGGCTCCGGGTGTAACTTCTTATGATATATTTCCCCAACCTCTCCCGTGCCCCTCAGCAGCAGTGGGGAATGAATCAGAATCAAAATAGGGCAGTGGGGGTGGAGAAAATGCTTTCTTGAGCACAGTCCCAGACAGCTTAGCTTAAGGCCTGGCTTATAGGGGATGCTGCGATTTGACGATACTAAGATCTATCGTACGATAGAAGATCCAGGATAATAGTATCGTCCTTTTTGCTAAATATAGTCCGATTGCACCGCTCGCCGCTCATTTTAACTTTTAAATGTTAACTTTTTTTCATAAAACAATTCTTTAGGAACTAAATAAGAGAAGTAACAGTTGTAAACATTGACATTACCAATTATATTTGTGCATTACAAATCGTTTTCTGGAGTAACAGAAGGAATCATGGTTATATGACATCGTTTTCATAAGTCATGTTATTATTTAATAGGTTTACTGTAACTGACAGCATGCGCATTATATGTTACATTTATACATTTTCATTACATTGTACGTAATGTCGAAAATCACTCGGGGTGCTTTCATTCTTTGTAATATAAAAATAAATGTATTTATTGAATGAAATCACAACCGTGAATCTTGCCAAGTCGTAAATGTTCCAGGGAGGGCGAATCATTCCACCCCTGGTATGTAATTCAGTTGTTGTTGTTACCGTATTGATCAGGTTAATAATTAACCGTTTGTCCACTTTGTGATGCAGATCTGCAACATTATGAACGCTCCTGCCGATGAAATGTTCAAGTTTTCTGTGAGTAAACCAAATGCCATACCACTCGAATTACTGATAAACCCACGTGTACAAAACAACTGGCCAATTTTTTACGTACGTTTTTTAGTGACGCTGTATTGGCAGTGGTGCCAAAGTATATTTAACAACTAAACTAATTCGTAAATAACAATGCCTTAAAAGAAAAAATATAAACGATGAACAACATGGCAATGGCTCTTCTTCATAACGCATTAATGGAGAGGAGGACAGAGAGATAGGGTTAATAAAGGATTGTAGATTGCAATTAACACCATGCGGCCTGATTAGAAAAAAATATGTTCTCTGATGACCAGTTTTTAAATAGACACATGAACAATCACCGAATAGTTTGCTATTCAGTACCAGACAAACCCTTCGATAATCAAAAGTATTACAAAATAAACGCATTTTATTTTAAAGTAAAATTATAAAAATGTTGCTGGCACAATGCATTGTGGGACGGTTTGTTCTTGTGGCAGTACATTCCTGGTTCCGATCACAATTTCAGCATCCAAAGTAGCGGTGGGCAACCTGCGGCCCGTGGAGCACCTCGTGGTGTCCTGGTCTCAGTGTGTTAGGGTGATGCGTGCGGTCACGATTAGTGCACAAGCACTATTTCCAACTTGCGGCCCACCGAGGCGAAAAAAGGCCGCTCATGCGGCCCACTAACAAGTCTAGGTTACCCATCGCTGATCTAAATGGTGTTCAGATCCGATGAGCTTTGAAGCTCGTTTTCACAGATGTGCAGGTTGGAGGCAGGCCAGAACGTAACAACAACAAACAATACAAAAACACGATAGGGGTGCAAACTATAGGCAAGGTAAACACATCGCTGAGAAATATTATACAAATAAAACTAAACTATGTTTTCGCTTACCAGGTAAAGCCCACCAACCTATTAGCTTCTTTTTTAGAAGCAACCTGACCACGAATGATATATTCTTGGTTCTTTCGGCAAAGTCACGTAGATAGAAAAGAAAAATAATACAATGAAATTCAAATAAAAAATAAAATAAAATTGAAAATGATAAAAGCAAAAAATCCACGGCGTTTCGATCGCAAACACAAGCGGTCTTCATCAGACCGAAAGAACCAAGAATATGAATTCCTGCAATCACGAAAGTTTTAAGTGACGAATGATAGTTCAACGAAGTGGCTTATCACGTTAACATTTATAGCAGAAAAAAATCATCTAAATAATTTAAATGATGATGTCAGCAGCACAACTCGGGTTCTGCAGTGGAAAAACAACCCGGAGGCTCTTGAGCCACGCCGGGCTGGTTCGGCATGACCCCAGCGCGGCTCATTTGTGCAGCGTGATGAAAGGTATCCTTATCTACGGGCCACCTCCTGGGGTTTTTTGTCAATTTGTTCCGCAGCTCAACCCCGTGGACGAAACGGGCTTCGTGATGCGAAACGTCCTCTCGCTGCCCATCGTCAACAAGAAGGAGGAGATCGTGGGCGTCGCCACCTTCTTCAACCGCAAGGACGGCAAGCCCTTTGATGAGTTTGACGAGATGATCATGGAGGTGAGCGTTTCATCAACCGCGATGGCTGCGCACGTGGCTGCCTGTAATCCGGCATCGAGGTCGGTGGATCGCCGCGCAGAAGTTGTTTAGCTCCCTCCCTGCGAGCGTTCGAGAATGGTGCCATACCCTGGCTTGCCAGGAGAAGGGGGTGCAGCAAAAATGTGGACCCCACGTGTTCCAGGTGGGATAGAGCGTTGCCCCCTTGCACACATGGGGTTTTATCCAGGTGCTCCGGTTTCCTCCCACATTTAAATACCCAGGGCGCCGCGGTGGCGAGATATTATCTTCCTTGCCTGGTATGCAGGAACTCGTGGGTTCAATCCCGACCCTAACGCCTATGTATTTGGAGTTTGCATGTTCTCCCCGTGGTCACGTGGATTTTCCTCCGGGTCCTCTGGAGGAGGTAGCACTCAGTAATCTGTACAAATAGGTACACGAACCCACTGCCCTGCTGCAAATTTGGCCACCTTGCAGCTCAATCCTATACCACCTGGTATTATCAGGCAGTCAACCATCCAGGTATTAACCAGGCTCAACTTTTTGCTCATTTTCCGAGATCTGATGAGATTAGGCACATTCAGGATGATCTCGTCGGAGGCATACTTGTTTGAAATTTGGGTGCCAAATACTGAGAATGGTATGCTTGTTTTTGCGTATGAAACATCTACATGACTCAATCTGACACAGAAAGTATGAAAGTCAGAAACGTTTCTCAATTCAAGTCGAGTGAAGAGCTTTGCCATCACAGCTAATAAATACTCTTACGCAGGACTTCATGTCTCGATTCATATTTTTCCGGGTCATAGGTAGGCTCTGTAGATGACACATGCCAAGTAGCCACAGACATAGTGAACGGTATACTGGATGTGGTGTGTCGGGTAAATACATATTTCCCGGATCACTGCCCTGCAGAGGCCCGGATAAAATCTAGCCCTGATCTTCTAACCACGTACAGTAGCGTTTTCAAGGAGATCCCTAATATTTACGAATCACGTGTTTAAGTCACAAATCTTACCATAACTGTGATGAGCAGCAATCCTTTGCTGTTGTCCGTCGTTCGTTTCAGGCTCTGACGCAGTTCCTGGGGTGGTCCGTGCTAAACACGGACACGTATGACAAGATGAACAAGATTGAGTTCAGGAAGGACATTGCCTTGGAGATGCTGTTTTACCACAACAAGTGCACCAACACCGAGCTTCAGACCGTCATAGTACGTTTTTGGTGGTCTTGGGGGAACTACTGGGGAGGCCTTCATCCCACAGTGGATTGATAATGACTGCCTTATCTTGGTTCTTTCGGTAAAGTCACGTAGAAGGGAAACAATAAAATAATTAAAAAATATATATTAAAAATAATAAAAATATATTTTTACTATTTTATTGTTTCCCTTCTACGTGACTTTACCGAAAGAACCAAGAATATGAATCCCTGCAGTCACGAAAGTTTTAAATAAAAAAATGACTGCCTTATTACAGCTGTATACATGCGTTACACATTAGGCACCATCTGGGAGGAACATGGGTAAAATAATAATGTTCTAGGTTAATTTTTCCATGCAAAATATTTGTTTTAGTCTTTTGCCAATTTAGACCTTCGAGAACAAAGTTGTAAAGCCATATTTTCATCAGCAGACCTGTTTTAACTGAGAAAGAGAGTTGAGACTAATCCAGAGTTTTCCAACTTAAATTCTCCTTTAAAATATTGTTCTGGAAGGCCCATAAGCTAAAGAACGAAAAGGTATTATTTAAAATGGAGAAATTGACTGTTTGTCGATTTCTAATTATTTAGCACGGCTTGTAGGTAGGACCCGTTCAGGCTCAATATTCAGGCTCAAATCTGATATTCATTTTGTGCGGTTACATTTGTTGAGTTAATTTCGAAGCACTTTTAGCGTCTTTCTTCAACAACCGGGATAAAAATGTGTCTTTCAGAAAAACAAAGAGATCCTGAACAAGGAGATTGAAAACTGCTCAGAAGCTGAACTCAAAAAGTTGGTCGTAAGTATCGAAGAGCGAGTAAACGCATCTCCAGCAGGGTTCACGTTTGGCCTTTTAAAGTCCTCACCTCATTCTTTGAGGCCCCACCGCTTTCTTAAAGGCCCCGCCTGTTCTTGCTCAGCTTTCTAGCGACACTGAACGTGGCTCCGCGAGTCACGGTTATTTATGTCCGTGAAATATTGCTCGTGTTATGCATTGCATTATCAATATTGTTGGTGTAGACCAATCACTTTCAAAGACGATGCATACAGTATATTACCAGAGCATGTGTTTTTGTTTGCATGTTCCCGACAAGTATGTGCGGTTAATGCAGTAACTTGATTCCTTACAAAAGCTTTCTGTTTGGTGTTTGAACATCTTAACACAACTGTTTTATTGCCAGAAAGGGTAAAACTATTCTTATATTTTCATATCATCATTGTTATTCTTGGGTCTTACAGTAAAGTCACGTAGATAGGTTCAAAGAAAATAACAAAAAATAACAGAACCTATCTACGTGACTTTACCTAAAGACCCAAGAATATTAATTCCTGCAGTCACGAAAGCTCTAAGTCAAGATCTTTATTGTTGTCATGACGAGCTCTTTTGACTCGCTGCTGATACACTTTGCTCAGATGTGGGGCCCGTCGCTCTCATAGCATCAATTGCCTGTCGAAAATAAAGTCAGAGGGCTCCTTAGACAGCAGTGAGGCCTCTTTAAATGGATCACCTTGCACGAGCCACCACTTCCGCAAGGTCTAGGTTTTAACAGTGCATTAAAACGACGAATGCTCAAACCTTTTTTGAATATTCATCCATATTTTTATATAAATCACTGGTGTCATTAGCTCCAGTTAAGGTCGGCGGTAATCTCCACGGTGTTCTGATTGTAGGTGACATGAGCAGGTTAATTTCTTCATACATATGGCCTCCATTGACATCTTCACCGCTTGTAATTGGGGATGTACATTTCAATCCCCTTTAACGTCTGGAGGTTATACTCTTTGGTTCTTTCGGTAAAGTCACGCAGGTAGAAAAAATAATAGATCACGACGCTTCGATCGCAACACATGCAACCGTGATCAGGTGTGTAACAAACACAGCAGGAGGACTGACCTGGGCAATGGTATCATCCACTGGGATCTGTTTAGGGGTGACTGCGAAATTCAACCCTTTAGCTAGTACCGTTTTAAGGCTGTCGGAAATTGGGCTGTTACTATGATTGATGACAATCTTGTTAACATCTAACTTTTTAATGTGTGGCTCTGGCCACACAAAGTAATACCGATCGCCTTTACACTCACATCTGCTGATGTCACTTCTAACTAACTCTAAACGGACCTTGGTTCGGGCCAGCCTAGCTCTAACCTCAGAGAGAATAAGATTGCTCCGATTTGAACTTGATAATTTAGACAAGACTCTCTTAGAATCACACTTAGTGTTAACAGATCGAATGTCCACATCTGATTGGGACCATGTAGATAACATGACAGTTTCTTCAGCTACTTCAATGTCAACCAAATGTAAAGTTAACTTGATTGCGAAATTCAACCTCCTGTCAAAAAATAAGCCAGAACCACACATTAAAAAGTTATATGTTAACAAGATTGTCAACAATCATAGTAACAGCCCAATTTCGACAGCCTAAAATCGGTACTAGCTAAAGCGTTGAATTTTTCAGTCACCCCTAAACAGATCCCAGTGGATGATATCATTGCCCAGGTCAGTCCTCCTGCTGTGTTTGTTACACACCTGATGACGATTGCTTGTGTTTCCATCGAAACGTCGTGATCTATTATTATCTTTCTACCCACGTGACTTTACCGAAAGAACCAAAGAGTATGGATTCCTGCAGTCACGAAAGCTTCAAATCAACTTGTGGAGGTTCTTGAGCCTCAATATTATCTGGGCAACTTTCCATCGAGAGCGCCGGGGAATTGCAAAGCGCTACGTTCGAGGTCACTGAAGTGGAAACGACGAAATGTGCAGTGGACACCTACGGGCTATTTGCCCATTGATCTTGATGATGATGATGGTAATGTTCGATTCCTGGAGAGACTTAAGAATTCAATTCCCTCCGCGATTACCGTCACATCTCTTTCTCTCCACGATACAAGCAAGAAAAAGAGTCGGGGGAGGAGGCATCGCTCTCGCCAAGGGGTCATTCACGGCGGTGGCCGTAACGCGACCTTTGTTTCGGCCGTGCAGAAGCAGGAGCTGCCCGACCCCAAGGAGATGGAACTTTACGAGTTCCACTTCAGCGATCTCGAGGAGACCGAGTTCAACCTGGTGAAGGGAGGCATGAGGATTTTTTTCGAGCTGGGCGTCGTCGACAAATTCAAGGTCCCGCCGGAGGTACACTTATCGAGCGTGTTTTGTTTCGCAATGAGTAGCATTGGAAATGATAAATCCGCGAATGAACGAATCATAAACAATCAGTGGTCTATTCATTCATTCTACTGAATTACAGCAATAGGCATTGCAGAGGCCGTAGGCAGTTAGAGCAGTGCGCTGACAAACTTGACGATAACCCGAGTTCGATTCGCAGCCGTGGTTAACACCATTTGGCGAGTGATACTTCAAATCGGTGGGTCCAGTACGCGCCACCTTCACCAACGCACGCCGAGTTTTTGGCTTCAAGTGGGAAGAAACCAGAGTAGCCGACGAAACCCCACCACACATATGAAGGGGGGGTGACCCCCAGTACTGCCATCTCCTGGCCATCTCGCAGCCCCACGCCAACAACACCTGACAAGCTGTGGTGGTCGCCCATCTAACTACTCACGAGGATCAAATCTGCTTGGCTTCTATGATCCAAAGAGATTGGGTGTGTTTTAGGGTTAGTTAAGTGTACATTTTTTTTCTAATTGCGTGTGAAGTTTTATGCAGCTTAAGTGCAGTAGAGCGAACTTACAAGCCCTGAGGTGTGGAATTGATATTTTTTAAATCAACATTTGTGTTTCCGTTCAAGCAATAGCTTCTTCTACTTGTGCTATAATAGTCATTGCAGTAATGCAACAGAAAATCACAATGGTAACGAACAACCTAAGAAGAGCGGCACAAGCCCTGAATCTAGGCCGAGTGGCCCAGACATGCATTATCCACAGCGGTGTAGCTATCGAGTGTGCAGGCGGTGCAACTGCACCGGGGCTCATGGGCTGGAGGGGGCCCAGCCTCCTGGCTACCAAAAGGGGAGGAGAATGAAGAATGGGGCCCCATTTAATTCCCGTTCACCAGGGGGGCGCTTGGCAACCAGACAATGCCACTGCCAATCTCACATTAACCATAGTCACCGAGATGAATATACACCGACGTTAAAAATGTCATTGCCCACGATCACACAATGCTCCAATTCATAGCCATCATCACCCACGATGTATCCGCTTCTGTGTGAACGCCTCCCCCCCCCCAGCATTCTCGAATTAATATACTTTAATTTGTTTTCCTTATTTTCAGACACTGGTGCGTTGGATGATTACCGTCAGCAAGGGTTACCGCACTATAACTTACCACAACTGGCGCCATGGCTTCAACGTGGGCCAGACGATGTTTACGCTGCTGATGGTGAGGACCTCAGTCTTTTGGCCGGAAGACGGTCCTATGTTGCCATTGCTTGGACTCATAACAGCGACAAAATGCATAATATACACCCTTGTGTTGTGCTTAAAACAGATATTGTTCTGCTTTGCTTGCAAGAGTACATCACGAGATGCTCGAGACAACAATGAATTAACTCGTAACAGGCTTTCCCAAACGCATTCATACATTTCTACTCATTAGCAACGTAACATTAGCGTGAAGGCTAGCAGCATTGAAGACACTCTTCTGAAAAGCAACATTTACTTGCGCGGCGCTTCGTTGGCAACCTCCGTTCACGAATCGCCAGCGGCTGAACGTTGCAGTGGCTCTTCTTGCCCACGCAGACGGGGAAGCTGAAGAAGTACTTCACGGACCTGGACGCCTTCGCCATGGTGGCGGCGGCGTTTTGCCACGACATCGACCACAGGGGAACCAATAACCTCTACCAAATGAAGTAAGGCTGCCGCGGTCCCCGTCTAGCACACGCCTGTGAACTGTGGGGAAATGGAGATGGAGAAAAGGTGGCAGTGTGCTGGAACGAAACGAGGAGTGAGAATTGCACACGAGTGACGATTGCTGCGGACAGCGAAAACGAGTTGATATTGTGACCATAACTAAAACGAGTTGATGTTGTGACCATAACTAAAACGAGTTGATATTGTGACCATAACTAAAACGAGTTGATATTGTGACCATAACTAAAACGAGTTGATATTGTGACCATAACTAAAACGAGTTGATATTGTGACCATAACTAAAACGAGTTGATATTGTGACCATAACTTAAACGAGTTGATATTGTGACCATAACTAGAACGAGTTGATATTGTGACCATAACTAAAACGAGTTGATATTGTGACCATAACTAAAACGAGTTGATATTGTGACCATAACTAAAACGAGTTGATATTGTGACCATAACGAAAACGAGTTGATATTGTGACCATAACTAAAACGAGTTGATATTGTGACCATAACTAAAACGAGTTGATATTGTGTCCATAACTAAAACGAGTTGATATTCTGACCATAACTAAAACGAGTTGATATTGTGACCATAACTAAAACGAGTTGATATTGTGACCATAACTAAAACGAGTTGATATTGTGACCATAACTAAAACGAGTTGATATTGTGACCATAACTAAAACGAGTTGATATTGTGACCATAACTAAAACGAGTTGATATTGTGACCATAACTAAAACGAGTTGATATTGTGACCATAACTAAAACGAGTTGATATTGTGACCATAACTAAAACGAGTTGATATTGTGACCATAACTAAAACTATTTTTTTTTATTTTACTCGGTAAGTCCCACTGAGCTATGTAGCTCTTTTTCATTAAGCGACCTGGCCACAAATGATAGGTCAACGAAGCGGCTTATCGCGTGGACATTTATAGCAGCCAAATCCTCTGGACGCATGTCTCTCTAAATGTGGAGGGAAAAACCGGAGGACCCGGAGAAAAATCCACAACCACAGGTAGAGAGACATGCAAACTCCAAATATACAGGCACAGCTCGGTACTCCCAGCATTACTTGCATGTCACGTGACTTTTACACGCTGCATGCGTGTTTTATACAGCCTATGATAAGACATCTGTGTACCAGTTTTTTTTCCTTGTTAGATATCGCCAGTACGGAATTGCCATCACTGGCTACCGCTGCTGCCCTGTGTCTCAAGGGCTTTGTGTAGACAATAAGCCAATTCCCACACTTCCTGATACTCACGAGAAACTCGTTAGACAAAGTCTATGAAGGATGTAAACAATTACAGTAACAATTACATAGTAATACAGTCCTGATTGAGGCCATGGCAAAAAAAAAAAAACTGTTTTGCGTCAGCGTCACAGTTTTTTTTATTCTTATTTTTTAAAATGTGGTGTTTTATGTGTGTAGTCTGAAAAAGAAAACGGTTTAAATGGTAAATATTTACATTGTGGAAATGATCTTTAAAACTTGCATTGCACCATTGAGTCACATTGATTATCCATCCGTAAGCAAGGTCTCTCAAAGTGTGCGTGCAAGAATCGGTGTGTTTTGATGCGTATGTGTGTTGCACGAAATTGATTTGATTGAAGAGTCAATTATGTTTGACTTGTTAACGTTGTTACGTAAACTGTGCAGCCACGAGAGATGGTACCATTCGCTGCAATGCGAAAAATACAAAACAAGTTACGGATGGAATTGAGACTGAATTGTGGCAGTTCATCAAATCGCCAGGGATGAATTATTCCTGACTAAAAAGCGTTGTTGTTTCTGTTTCGTCTTATACCATTAGCTGCCTCGATATTCATACATTATTATAATTATTATGATGATGATCACTAACGAATTTTATTGATGTACAGTGAGGGAAGAAGCATTTGATCCCCTGCTGATTTTGTACGTTTGCCCACTGACAAAGAAACGATCAGTCTATAATTTTAATGGTAGGTTTATTTTAACAGTGTGAGACAGAATAACAACAACAAAAATCCAGAAAAACGCATGTCAAAAATGGTATAAATTGATTTGCATTTTAATGAGGGAAATAAGTATTTGACCCCTCTGAAAAAACATGACTTATTACTTGGTGGCAAAACCCTTGTTGGAAATCACAGAGGTCAGACGTTTCTTGTAGTTGGCCACCAGGTTTGCACACATCTTACGAGGGATTTTGTCCCACTCCTCTTTGCAGATCTTCTCCAAGTCATTAAGGTTTCGAGGCTGACATTTGGCTACTCGAACCTTTAGCCCCCTCCACAGATTTTCTATGGGATTAACGTCTGGAGACTGGCTAGGCCACTCCAGGACCTTAATGTGCTTCTTATTGAGCCACTCTTTTGTTGCCTTGGCCGTGTGTTTTGGGCCATTGTCATGCTGGAATACCCATCCACGACCCATTTTCAATGCCCTGGCTGAGGGAAGGAGGTTCTCACCAAAGATTTGACGGTACATGGCCCCGTCCATCGTCCCTTTGATGCGGTGAAGTTGTCCTGACCCCTTAGCAGAAAAACACCCCCAAAGCATAATGTTTCCACCTCCATGTTTTACGGTGGGGATGGTGTTCTTGGGGTCATAAGCAGCATTCCTCCTCCTCCAAACACGGCGAGTTGAGTTGATGCAAAAATGCTTCATTTTGGTCTCATCTGACCACAACACTTTCACCCAGTTGTCCTCTGAATCATTCAGATGTTCATTGGCAAACTTCAGACGGGCATGTGTATGTGCTTTCTTGAGCAGGTGGACCTTGCGGGCGCTGCAGGATTTCAGTTCTTCACGGCATAGTGTGTTACCAATTGTTTTCTTGGTGACTATGGTCCCAGCTGCCTTGAGATCATTGACAAAATCCTCTCGTGTAGTTCTGGGCTGATTCCTCACCGTTCTCATGATCATTGCAACTCCACGAGGTGAGATCTTGCATGGAGCCCCAGGCCGAGGGAGATTGACACTTCTTTTGTGTTTCTTCCATTTGCGAATAATCGCACCAACTGTTGTCACCTTCTCACCAAGCTGCTTGGCAATGGTCTTGCAGCCCATTCCAGCCTTGTGTAGGTCTACAATCTTGTCCCTGACATCCTTGGAGAGCTCTTTGATCTTGGCCATGGTGGAGAGTTTGGAATCTGATTGATTGATTGCTTCTGTGGACAGGTGTCTTTTATACAGGTAACAAGCTGAGATTAGGAGCACTCCCTTTAAGAGTGTGCTCCTAATATCAGCCAGACATCTTTCTGATTGAGAAGGGGTCAAATACTTATTTCCCTAATTAAAATGTAAATCAATTTATAACACTTTTGACATGCGTTTTTCTGGATTTTGTTGCTGCTATTCTGTCTCTCACTGTTCAAATAAACCTACCATTAAAATTATAGACTGATAATTTCTTTGTCAGTGGGCAAACGTACAAAATCAGCAGGGGATCAAATACTTTTTTCCCTCACTGTATGCTCAACAGAATTTTTTTTTATATATATAATAATTCACTGGGTATCCAATCTCTAAGGTCCTGTCCAAGTCAGATATCCATGTTAGCCAGCACACTCATATTATGGATTGGTAGACAGGCCTTGGTAGCTTACAACATTGTATTCCAAGACAGTGGCATAGCTACCGAGTGTGCAGGCGGTGCAACTGCACCGGGGCCTACCAAGAGTCGGCGGAGCTGCAAAAGAGAGGGGGGCAAAATGTGACAGGAGGTCCCCACCCCTGCCAATTCATTTGTTCCACAAGGACCCACGCCAACCACATCGCGGACACGGAGTTGTTAAAACCCCGCTTGTGTGTGGGTTCATACGCCGCCGCTGCGCGCTGTGCCCGTTCGTAGGTCTGCAGCTCCGCTCGCAAGGCTCCACGGGACGTCCATCATGGAGAGACATCACCTGGACTACTCCAAAACCCTGCTCACCGACGAGGTTACTGACGAGCGCGTCGAGCTCGGTTCTTGTCTGTTTGTGCTTGAGCACCGCTGCCAAATGACACAGCAGTGGCATCACCGCCACTACTGTGCGCCGACCGGTGAGCGACGAGGGCCAGGCACTCTTCCCACGCTTGACCGCCACCCAAAAAAAAAGGCGCTGGAACAGGACACAATGCATCCACGACAGAATGAATGATCAATTATATGTCAACGCTCAGCATAGCTAATGGCCTAGTGGTCGAGTTATGGTCAAGCTATGGTCGAGCACCGAGCAGTCATCGAGCTCAGGATCGTTTTGACGCTCGAAAAAAATCCGGTATCATTTATGACGATTCCCGTTCCACTGTTCCTTATTTGAGCAAGAAGAACATACCCCCCCGCCCGCCCCCCCCCCCAAAAAAAAAACATCGTGTATGGGCAAATCCACGCCCAATTACTCCACATATGGGCCTGAAACTGTAACATAATTGATCACGAATTCTGTCGCGGGTTCATTACGTCCCCTTACAGCGCCACTGAATGAACGCTCGCGCTCCGTTGTGGTTTGGCAGCAGCGTCGACAGCCGGCGCATTCGCGTCGCCCTCTCTTGCAGTCTCTGAACATCTTCCAGAACCTGAACCGTCGGCAGTACGAGACCGTCCTCCACCTCATGGAAGTCGCCATCATCGCCACCGACCTGGCTCTTTATTTCAAGTAAGGGATCGGCCTGTGTGCACACAGCCGCTCACCACGCACTGCCGTGGAGGATTATAGGAAACTAGCATCCTTTTCCCCCGTCCGTAGGACGGAAGCTGTGATGTTTACGAAAAAAATGAGCAGAGTATAATTGTGTATCTTGTGTAAATTTAATGGCAGTGAATCTTACACAAAACGAAGTCATAAAACATGTCAATTAATGTCACTGTAGCACTGTATATAAACTGACCTTCAATTTGTTCAAATTCACTGCTCTGATACTTTATTCTCTTCTGCTTTCGGTCGCTGGGGGTTGAAATAAATTGGAAATCGATACAATATCTGGAAAATCACCGAGAAATGTCTATTTAACCATAATGTAGAAGCATAAATTAGATTTATCTTTTGTCTCAAGTGCTGAAGAAATAAAGACACCAAGTCCACTTTGTTGCTGCGTAGAATCATTTATTAGATTCAGTTTCAATAAAGAAACGTGAAACTTAAAGCGAATTTGCGAAACAAAAATCTTTCCACTCGACTTTCTTCTGCGCGAGTGTAAAAATCCACCCGCTCATGAATATTAATGACGGGGGGGGGGGCGGCATGTGGAGTGACGTCACGCGCGTTACACACAAACAGACATTCTTGGCTCATTATAGTAGTAATTAACATAATAGCTAAGGCGGAGGAACGTCAGTCTTTCTGCATAAAATTAAATAGGATTTTAGTCCCGTCAGCCTATGAGTCTTTTTTTTTAAACCAATGCTTACAATGCCATTTGTTTAAGCAGGGAAACTCCGGGTAGACTTTGACTTTCACAATCGTGTCAGCCTGTTGAACCAATGCCTCTGGGTTGTCTGACGTTATAGGCAAGAGCACTCCACAAACACGGTCGGGTCCATTTGTCAACAATCATTATGGAGGGCCTACCTCCGATGTTTATACACCTGCCGTTGGACCACAGGTCCGGGAACCATTGCACTCACGTTATACTCTTTACTACAAGGCCCGTGTACAACGTGCGTGTTTTTAATTTCTCCGGCTTTTTGACCCGCAGGAAGCGAGCGATGTTTGTGAAGATAGTGGATCACTGCGAGACACTGGGGAACGAGGCTGAAGCCATCAAGTACATCACCTGCGACCCCACCAAGAAGGAGATCATCATGTAAAGCTACAGACGTGGCGTGCGACGCAACTTAGGGGAAACGAAATTCGTGCAACCGTCCCAGTCACGCAGATCTCGGTGGGACTCGGACAGAGTCAACGCAGCCCCTTTCCGCTAAGTATTATAATTTCATTCCTGCCAGTCTGACGGAAAAAAAATATATTTTTTTAGCAGTTGCCCACCAGGTAGCCCTGGCCTAGGAGAGGGGTTTCTTTTAGTGACGGCAATTTTTTGTTGTCAAGTTGTCACGAGATCTTTCAAGCTCAAGACGTCATCATAGTCGAAGCCGTTGATGCCATCACCACCACTGCCACTGGCACGTTAGAGGCCATCCACTTAGTACGTACGCATGGAGGGGGGAGGTTAACCCAAATACGTACGCTTGCGTATGCAGGGTCTACTGACAATGTGCGTACTCATAGGAAACGGTGGGGGGGGGGGGTGAAGCCTCGATAATAATGTGTCTACATTGGCCTTCAAATGAGTCAGATAGTCCGGGCGGTGGACTATCTGTTTGCTTAAACACGTTAATATTATTAATCCTTGATCGTTTCTGCGTGGATTAAATATCGGCCGTTCTGTAGGATTTGGGGGGTGGGGGGGGGGGCGTGCGTCAGGCGTCCGTACGCCTGACGTACAGGGAGGGGTCAAGTTTTGATAGATTATTGCATACCTACTAAATGGATGGCCCCTTATTGCCGCCGCCACCACCGCCAACGCCACCACCACCGCCACCACCACCACCACCGCCACCGCCACCACCACCGCCACCACCACTGCCACCACCGCCGCCACCACCGCCAACGCCACCACCACCGCCACCACTACCACCACCACCACCACCGCCGCTGTCTCCCCTCCGCTGCTGCCGTGCAGTCGTCACGGCGGCGACCCCCCCCACCACCCCGAGAGTCTCCATGCCATCTGCCTCAGGGCTTCCCGTTGGTCGCCCTGGACTTGTGAACAGCACTCCCTACCGCCAGTCTGTCAAGCTTCAATACAAAAACTGTCGCCCCACTTCCTAATGGAATGCTGGACACGTTTCTCTCGCTTCTCTGCGTGTGGCGGTAGTCGCTCGTGGTCGTGGGTGTAGATGCGTCCCAAGGCAATGGCGCACAAAGCAAACAAAACAGCACGACGAGGAGGAGGAGGAGGCTGCTTGCCGAGCAGCTCCCACAGTACATGCACAGACAAAGATCCCCCCAGTATAGTGCAGCCTTAGCAGACTGTTTGGGCCAAGTGCTGTTAGTGAGCAACCACGAATGCCAGAACAGCACACAAGGGGATGATGGGCGGCCAGCACCACGCCCGGCCGCCTCTGTCTCAATACATACAGTACACGTAGCACACACACACACAGACAATGTTGTCCCACGTCCGACCGTATAGCCGCTTGTGAGTGAATGCAAGCCGCGTGGCACAGCGAATGTTGTGCAGAAATAGGTTAGCGGCGTATACAGCGCGAAATCGGCGCAGCGTTGAGGTGAACCCGTCTGTTAAATGCCATTCGCAGGGCGATGATGATGACCGCCTGCGACCTGTCAGCCATCACCAAGCCTTGGGAAGTGCAGAGCAAGGTAAGACCACGATTGTAAATGTCGCTAGAACAACACACCACCGGTGTTGCTGTTCTAGCGACGAATTGGCCACGTTCTGTTCACGTGACAACCCTTGCTCGTTTGCTGTGCCTGCCGGTGGCGCGTTTTAACGACACATTTATATGTTTATACGCGATCTAACCCTAAAAAAAAAAACACCCGCTTATGGATTACATGAGGTGTTAGTATTCCCAGTTTTTTTGTTTGTTACAAGGGTCTTGTCAAACTCTAGCTCAGCAGGGGTCGGCAACCAGCGTCTCTCCGGAGCTGCACGCGGTGGCTCTTTGAGGGGCTGGCTTCGTGACGGTCATTTATTAAGGAGCACCGTTCCCCTATTCACGTGCATTGCGGCTCCTAAAAATATAGTTTTTTTTATATACAGAATTCGAAAAAAATGGCTCTTCTTGTTATTTTGGCTGCTGACTCCCTAAAGGAGCTCCGACGTTCTAGATCCATCCTCCATGGTAACCTCGGCCGTGGCCATGTCGGTCTGGTTTTAAGTCTACCCTCAAAACGTGGCTCTTTCACAAGCAATTTTCATAATGAGCACGGCTCATGAGAAGGAGGTGCGTAGTACATTTTTGAATGCGGCACGATTCATATTTTGAGCGTTATGAGATGTATAATGGGCTTATTGCAAGGCTTATACAAAGGGGATATATGGTAAATGGCCGAATGCTGTATCATTGCTACGTCAGTGGGATGTGATGTCTAATGCATGTTTATGGTAAGGCTTATGAAGAGATGATGTGTGGAAATTGGTTGAATGACGTATGAATGATATGCGAGCGTGATGACGCATTACGTTTGGGCTTATTGTACGGCTTATGAAAAGAGGATGTTTATTGACTGGTTTTATGCTTTGAACTTTATCGAGTGCAGTGCCATGGTGTTTGTGTATAGGGTTCATGAAAAAATAAGAATAGTCTTTACCCTTTCTAGGGCTAAAACAGGAAGTGTTAAAATGTTCAAACGCCAAATAGATATCTATTGCATGGCATCAATTACTGCATTAATGACACACACTTGTGGCAAAACATGCAAACAAACATGCTCTGATAATTATTAATACAGTATATGCATTGAACGTCTTAACAGCTGTTTTATTATTCATATTCTTTGGGTCTCTCGGTAAAGCCACGTAGATAGAACAAACAATAAAAATAATAACAATATCACGGCGTCTCGATCGCAACACAAGCAATCGTCATCAGGTGAAAAATATATATAGCGGGAGAGCTGCTGAGAGTATTTGGCGGGTGCGCTGCTAAGGCAGGGAGTTATAAAGGTTTGAGATGGGTGTAGCCCAAGGGTCAGTGGACGAGGTTAAGCCTAATCTCATTTTCCCGTTATCTTGATACTGGCGAAAAAGGTCCCATAGATGTGTATCGGGTTATTGTGAGGTGCCTTGGAGTCTCACTTCAATGAACGGTGCAAACTACGCTTGACTTCCTATTATTGTTGTACAAACACATTAACTTCCTCATATTATCATCATAGGGAATACATTCAGGCTGCTATCTAACGATGAGATTAATTCCTCAGGTTCAGAAACGTTTGGTACATGCACAGTTACTTTGAACAACAACAAAAATACGAGAAAATAACTGAAAACAAGGCGTTTTACAATTATACTTGTGGAAATAACATGAGGCCACTTAAATTATAATTTAAAAAGCATGCATACTCCATGATACAGGTTTTATTGGGTTAGATCGCGTAAATATATAAATGTTGCGTTAAACCCGCCACCACTCGACACAGCCAATTAGTAAGGTTTGTAACGTAAACAGAACGTGGCCAATTCGTCACTAGTACAGCACACCGGTGTGTTGGAGAGCAAAGCCACAACATTTACAATCCGAATACGACGTTTCTCCAGTAATTACAACTAGCCTCATCAGGCGAGAGCCAGATTTGTGGAGAAATCCTCCTGTTTCGTTCCTTAAATAGAGGGCTAGATCTGATGGCATCTTGAGCGAAGTGGGGGGGGGGGATTAATTAATGCATATAAATGACAAGCACGTATCCGTTGTCTTAACCACATTACTAGACATTCATTTTTACTGGATTCTAAAAAGCCTCATTCAGTTGAGTATAAAGTTTACTTAACGTCTCCTTCGTTATGGGCTGGTGACGAAGTCTAATTTCCTTCCGAAACAAACAGACGTGCGTACAACAATGTGGCCATGGGGGCGGGGCGGCCCTTATCCAGCAGTGGATGTAACAATGCGTGCGTCTTGCCGTCCCCATGCCCCAGGTAGCACTGCTGGTCGCCGCCGAGTTCTGGGAGCAGGGAGACCTGGAGCGCACGGTCCTGCAGCAGAACCCCATCGTAAGCACCCACGGTGGCTACACGGGCGGGGAGATGCGAGGTGGCTGGAGGGGAGCGGAGATGCGAGGTGTCTAGAGGGGAGTGGAGATGCGAGGTGGCTGGAGGGGAGTGGAGATGCGAGGTGGCTAGAGGGGAGTGGAGATGCGAGGTGTCTAGAGGGGAGTGGAGATGCAAGGTGTCTAGAGGGGAGTGGAGATGCGAGGTGTCTAGAGGGGAGTGGAGATGCGAGGTGTCTAGAGGGGAGTGGAGATGCGAGGTGGCTGGAGGGGAGTGGAGATGCGAGGTGTCTAGAGGGGAGTGGAGATGCGAGGTGGCTAGAGGGGAGTGGAGATGCGAGGTGTCTAGAGGGGAGTGGAGATGCGAGGTGTCTAGAGGGGAGTGGAGATGCGAGGTGGCTGGAGGGAAGTGGAGATGCGAGGTGTCTAGAGGGGAGTGGAGATGCGAGGTGGCTAGAGGGGAGTGGAGATGCGAGGTGTCTAAAGGGGAGTGGAGATGCGAGGTGTCTAGAGGGGAGTGGAGATGCGAGGTGTCTAGAGGGGAGTGGAGATGCGAGGTGTCTAGAGGGGAGTGGAGATCCGAGGTGTCTAAAGGGGAGTGGAGATGCGAGGTGTCTAGAGGGGAGTGGAGATGCGAGGTGTCTAGAGGGGAGTGGAGATGCGAGGTGTCTAAAGGGGAGTGGAGATGCGAGGTGTCTAGAGGGGTGTGGAGATGCGAGGTGGCTAGAGGGGAGTGGAGATGCGAGGTGTCTAGAGGGGAGTGGAGATGCGAGGTGTCTAGAGGGGAGTGGAGATGCGAGGTGTCTAGAGGGGAGTGGAGATGCGAGGTGTCTAGAGGGGCGGGGAGATGCGAGGTGGCTGGAGGGGAGTGGAGATGCGAGGTGTCTAGAGGGGAGTGGAGATGCGAGGTCTCTACAGGGGAGTGGAGATGCGAGGTGTCTAAAGGGGAGTGGAGATGCGAGGTGTCTAGAGGGGAGTGGAGATGCGAGGTGTCTAGAGGGGAGTGGAGATGCGAGGTGTCTAAAGGGGAGTGGAGATGCGAGGTGTCTAGGGGGGCGGGGAGATGCGAGGTGGCTGGAGGGGAGTGGAGATGCGAGGTGTCTAGAGGGGAGTGGAGATGCGAGGTGTCTAGAGGGGAGTGGAGATGCGAGGTGTCTAGAGGGGAGTGGAGATGCGAGGTGTCTAGAGGGGAGTGGAGATGCGAGGTGTCTAGAGGGGAGTGGAGATGCGAGGCGTCTAGAGGGGCGGGGAGATGCGAGGTGGCTGGAGGGGAGTGGAGATGCGAGGTGTCTAGAGGGGAGTGGAGATGCGAGGTGTCTAGAGGGGAGTGGAGATGCGAGGTGTCTAGAGGGGAGTGGAGATGCGAGGTGTCTAGAGGGGCGGGGAGATGCGAGGTGGCTGGAGGGGAGTGGAGATGCGAGGTGTCTAGAGGGGCGGGGAGATGCGAGGTGTCTAGAGGGGTGTGGAGATGCGAGGTGTCTAGAGGGGCGGGGAGATGCGAGGTGGCTAGAGGGGAGTGGAGATGCGAGGTGTCTAAAGGGGAGTGGAGATGCGAGGTGTCTAGAGGGGTGTGGAGATGCGAGGTGTCTTGAGGTGTGTAGAGTTGCAAGATGCTATTTTAAAGCGAACATTTGCGGGGGGGGGGGGGGTGGGGGGTGGGGGGTGTTATCATTCTGTAGATGTGTGTGTGTGACCAGATTTGTTAAGTTTATGCACACCGAGCATTGGTTTTGGGTGTGCCTCAGTTTTCAAAGAGTATTAAAATGGAGAAAATACAGTACGACCTCTTATTTACCCAGAAAGGCCACGCTGACTTGTGAAGATTTTCTGGAAGTTTCTGCATTGCGATGGATGAGTTTTTGGATTCATGTGAGAGGAAAGCAGAGTGTGTGGAAAAACCCCAACCCAATCGAGGCGATATCACTGATAGCTCCACACAGACAACTTCAAAATCGACAGACTCGAGCTAGTGAGTGAACTAAATATATCTGTGGCCCAAAGCCATTGCTGCACAGCCATCTCACAGCCATCTCACAGCCCTCACAAATAAATGTGACAGATAATTAGTTGACATATCCTTGTCTGTGTAGTGGGTTCTAGAGACACTTCGGATAGGTAACTTCTTTATTACAACACAGCACTCCAGCAGTCCTCCTGATACACTGTTCAGCCTAGGGACACAGTCTACTCCTAGCATGCCGTGACACTGGCTACGCTCTCGGGTCCTCCGCTATAATCACCCTAGGGGAGGCTACCCCTGACCCAACCCAGCCAAGGTGCGGGTCTTGACTCTGGCTTCCTCGGACCTCACCTTCACAAGGGCGTGGGGCCGGGAGTCCCAGACTCCCACCACTGGCCCAGAGTCCCACCACTGGTCCAGAGTCCCACCACTGGCCCAGAGTCCCACCACTGTCCCAGAGTCCCACGACTGGCCCAGAGTCCCACCACTGGCCCAGAGTCCCACCACTGGCCCAGAGTCCCACCACTGGCCTAGAGTCCCACCACTGGCCCAGAGTCCCACCACTGGCCCAGAGTCCCACCACTGGCCCAGAGTCCCACCACTGGCCTAGAGTCCCACCACTGGCCCATAGCCCCACCACTGGCCCAGAGCCCCACCACTGGCCCAGAGTCCCACCACTGGCCCGCACAGCGTCCTGGCCCTCACAAGGGCAGCGGGTCGAGGGGGTCCAGGGTCCTATCTAGCTGCTGGTCTTCGGCTTCGGTCTTCAACTGGTCCCAGATCGGCTGGGGAGGTCCCCTTTTATGCCCCTTGCCCATTGAGGGGTGGGGCTGCGAGGGATCCTAGACCCTCCGCAGCCCCCCCCCCCCCCCCCCCGTTGGGGGCACCAAGGGGCTTAGCTGTCTGGGGCTCCTGAGCCCCCAGCAGCCCCTCCCCTCTTGGGCTGGCGCTGCAGCCCCTCCCCTGACGGTATGAGGTACCGTTCCATCTATGGTGCTACATCTGTATAGATATTGGTGCTATAGTCACCCAATATCTGTTAATGTTTCTGTAAATAAATTTTGTAATTGTACCGTGATCAGTTTTTTGCCCGAGCCGATTTGCGTTGAAGGGAATCGAATATTTAACTTTTATTTAACATTGATTCATGTTTGTGCAATATTTTCAATGTATCTTCTGATAACACTTTTCTATTTGCCTCATCGTTGTTCTGTATTTGTTTTGTTTTTGTCAATTTGGTGACCCAGGTCACGCTTGCAAACGAGACGATATATCTTGGCCTCTCGAGTTCTCACCTTTGCACTGCAGAACAAAACACCGCGGCATTGCTCTTCCGTGTGTAGAACACACGTGCCCCACACACGTACCCCACACACGTGCCCCACACACGTGCCCCACACACGTGCCCCACACACGTGCCCCACACACGTGCCCCACACAAGTGCCATAGACACGTGCCCCCACACATACCCTCACACGTGCCCCACACACGTACCCTCACACGTGCCCACACACGTGCCGTAGACACGTGCCCCACACACGTGCCCCACACACGTGCCCCACACACGTGCCCCACACACGTTCCCCACACACGTGCCCCACACAAGTGCCCCACACACGTGCCCCCACACATACCCTCACACGTGCCCCACACACGTACCCTCACACGTGCCCACACACGTGCCGTAGACACGTGCCCCACACACGTGCCCCACACACGTGCCCAACACACGTGCCCCACACACGTGCCCCACACAAGTGCCCCACACACGTGCCCCCACACATACCCTCACACGTACCCTCACACGTGCCCACACACGTGCCGTAGACACGTGCCCCACACACGTGCCCCACACACGTGCCCCACACACGTGCCCCACACAAGTGCCCCACACACGTGCCCCACACACGTGCCCCACACACGTGCCCCACACACGTGCCCCCAAACGTCCCCACACACGTGCCGTAGACACGTGCCCCCACACGTGTCCCACACACGTGCCACTCATGTCATTTAGACATTACGACTCAAAACCCGTTCGTCGATAACACTGTGGCCTTCATTTTTTATATATATAAAGTCTACAATGAGCCATGTTTTGGGAAATAGACCTTCTTTGCAGCACACAGAGACAGAGAACACTCTGCGGTTTTGAAGGCCACGACGTTTGTGTTGTTATTGACGAACGCGTCGAACATTGTTGTGATGCGTGTTTGTGCACCACTGCCACGGAAGTATCGCCAGATAATTAAAGTTAAACACGGAGGCTTTCGAGACCAATATTATGCGTAATAAGGTGCGTTTGGTTGGAGGCGGGTTTTCGACACGTTTACATTTACGCGATCTAACCGAAAAAACGTTGTCATCACCAAATAACTCGTTTAATTTAGACGCTGGCAGTCGAATAAGAAACACTCCCCTGCACGCGTGAAGCGATTTCTGAGTTGTAAATTGTTCAGCTAAACAGTGGTGTAGAATTGGCTCTTCACACCATATTTTACGAGTGAGACGTTAACGTCTCAATTGCAAGCAATTCACAGTTCGCCGCTCGGGTGTGCTCACGTGATTCACGATTGTGTTCATACCACCCCAATTTTCCCCATTACCCCTCCAATTGACATATGCTTCCAGAAACAACAGCCGCAGAGGGGAGTTAAAGGGGCTCGATGGTTATTGTTGGCAATGCAGGCTGGACATTCTTAGAAGTGCTATTTATATGAACATTTTTTTCCCTCTTTGCATTATTTTTTTTATTCATCAGCCCATGATGGACAGAAACAAGGCAGTTGAACTTCCCAAGCTGCAGTGCGGTTTCATCGATTTCGTCTGCACCTTTGTGTACAAGGCAAGAGATCGCTTTGTAATGATTTCCAGATTTGCCTGGAATCATTTATGGTTTAGCTTCGTCCGTCCATCTGCCTGTCTGTCCTAATTCCCATTCCTCTGTCCATCTCGGTCCTCATGCCCGTTCGTCTGTCCATCCGTTCGTCCGTCATAATTTTGTCATCATTTCGCGCTTGCAGAAGTCATGACATTGGGCCTCGTGGCACAGTGGTGTGAGCACGTGGCAGCTCTCAATCAGCAGGATGCGAGTTCACATCACGTTAGTGGGGTTGACTCAGCCCTTTATTGCCAAAATTTAGTATACATTAACAAAAACAAAAACTCAACGTCCTCTTCATTAATATTGTGGCCTCAAGAGAAAAAATATACAATAGGTGATATTTCTTTAAATGACCCTTCTTCAGAGCACGTTAAGACGGGCCATTGGCTGAAACGTTACCTCTTATATATTATTTCCTTTTAAGGCCAGAGTGTTATGTTGAGGTTTTTTTTTATTAACTACTAGCTTTACTACCCGGCTTCGCCTGAGACTTGGATTCTTGTCTTGGATTAATACACGGCCTACGCGGAGGGTGGGGGGGGGGGATGCGTGACGTCAGCAGGCACACTGCGTGACGCTGCCACATGCGGGTGACATCACAGATGTGACGTCACCGCTCACTTGCCGTGCAAAATATATCCATTATTGCGCCTCCCCCACCCCAAAATACAAAAGTATATTTTTTATACTTTTTTTATACTTTTTGCATTGTGTACAGTCTGGAAACTACCCACATGCCACATTTCAAATTTGTTGCATGTTGCGAAGTATGCTAAACATTTATAACAGACACACATATTCACAAATTTCCCTTTATTATATATATAGATGCTTGTGCACCGCTGCAGCAGGAGCAGCAGCCAAAGCAACATCACCAAATAATGTGTTCAGTGTCGGAATAATGACATGTCCACGGCGGTTCTATGTTGCATTGTAGACATTCTCGCGAACAAAGGTCTCCGCGGTCCGCGCCTCCCCCCCCCCACCGCCCTCCGATTTGTGCGCGTCGCAGGAATTCTCGAGGTTCCACCCGGAGATAACGCCCATGTACGCCGGGCTGCAGAACAACCGCGTGCACTGGAAAGCGCTCGCGGACGAGTACGACGCAAAGTGCAAGCAGTTGGAGGAGGCGAAGCAGAAACAAACGGAGACCGTGCAAGGTGATGAAGCCGCCCCCCCCCCACCACGCCCCCCCACTACCCTTCCCCCCCCCCTGCTCCCCCCGCCCCCTACTCCCCACCCCTTGTTGCTATTGCTGGAAGGGGCAGTCGTGATAGGGCAGCGGTCTTCACTCATTTTCAGAGTCGGGTGGGGGTGGGTGCAGGCACTTGTGCCGGTAAGACAGCATCAGTGTGAGGGCTGCCACACATTTGAAACCATTGGGTTTCACAGCAGCAGCAGCACGATGATGTGGTGTTTTTCACGTTTGTGTATTTAATTATCGGGGGGGCCGCAGGAAGGCCACCAGGGGTCACCAGTGGCCCGTGGGCCTTGCAATGAAGAACACTGGAATAGGGAATTCATTTCAGTCGGGTCCTGTCACGTTCAATGACCCATGACATTTCCCCACTGCTCACACTACGACATCTATCCTGTGATTTGTAACTTTCATCCTTACCCATGTATCGATAGTTAAACTATAATGTGCATTTTTATTGAGGGAATGTGTGTTGTCTTGGTGTGGTCTGGGACTGTTATTGCTGTTGCTTTGCTGGCTTGCCCAAGCTTGGGAATTTATGTACTCGTGCAATTTGAACTTATATATTTGTTTTGTGATTTGCTTACATTTCCTACACTTTGTACTCCTATCTTTGTTGGTAATTGTAACTTTCTGACCTGCCCCTACTGGGCATCTATGTGAAAAAAAATCATATTTTCCATTCCTGTTTGGAGAACTTGTAACATTCTGATGTTTTTTAGTTAGGGTCCAGTTAGGTGCCCCATAGGTTGTTCCTCGTGTCGTAGGGTAAAGGTGCAAGCCTGCAGTTTCATGCTCATGCAATTGCTGGCGGAAGGTGGCCTCCACTAGAACGAGCTGTTGAGAAGCTATACGTTTGCTCAAGTTTTTTTTTCCCGTACAAACAACTATTATTTCAATGAATATCACACTTAAAGCTTATTTTATTATTAACCGTTTTTCCGCACTTTTGTTTTAGCAGGCAAAACGGTTACCAACGGCGGCTGTGAAGAACCCCCCAAGTCGAAGAGTTGCGTGATCGTGTGAAACCGCCGAGGCGTCTCGCCGCCAACCTGCAACGAACTTAATCTCCCAAACCTGCAGCAGTGTGTGCGTGTGTTTGTGCTTCACACTCTGCAGCTGTAGAAACAACCTCCCGTAAACCTTTGCTGCTTCAGGGGTGGGGAAGCTACAGCCCAATAGACCAACTACGACCCATGACTTCACGTCATACTGCCCGCGGCCACGTGAAGCCTACCGTATTCAAAACGGCCCGCAAAAAAAATATTTGTTCGCGTCAATGAGGGCATCTTAGCAGCACTAAAATCGCGTACCAAAGGGGAAAATCTTCAACCCGGTAACAACAACTGTGTGTCTAAGTTTCACGCGTGTAGGTCACCCATAGTCTTGAACGAATAAATTTTAAGGTCGCACTATTTACACACATTAGTGCTTGCCACAAATGAACCACGATTACCTTGCCGATCTCGTCAACGCACATAAACCATCATTCAAACTCCAGTCATCCTCGCAGCGGCTGTTGGATAGTCAAACAATAACGGTCACAGCACCGCGCGCTTTCAGATGCGCTTCTGCGGAGCGTCTGGAATGCTCTTCCTTCCGTTATTAGGAAGCCACTGGAACCATGCACTTTTAAATCTAGATTGAAATCTCATTTCTTCAAAACTCCTGTTCATGTTTAGTTTGTTGTCCTTCCCCCACACCACCGATTAGCACCTGTACCTATGTATGTGTTCAATACACATACATAGGTACAGGTAGTTCTGGGCACACAGGTAATGAGTTCATTCCAAGCCTGATCTGTGGCACGCCGAAGGTAATTTGAAAAGACCTTATTCCGCCGTCGGTAAGGAAAGGATGCCTCAACCCCTGCTTTACTTAATACACATTAGCAATGAGGTAACGGCAGCTGGGGAGGCACATACGTAATCATCCGCTCTCCGATAAATTAAGCCAATCTTGTTTAATGGGTCACAAATTCACGTTTCAAATACTAAAAATTTAATGCGATTCTAAGCTTGCAAGAGAGTGCACACTCACCGACAGCAGGACATTTATGGGAGTGCTTTTAAAGGGGCAAAGCATGTAGTAGGGTCTTCTTCCATTTGATGTCGGTCGTCCGATGTTATTTCAAACTCCGTCAACAGCCGGCATCTTTATTTAAACATACTCTTTGGTTCTTTTGGTAAAGTCACGTAGGTAGAAAAATAAAATAAGCAAAAAATAATATATCATGACGTTTCAATCGCAACACAAGCGGTCGTCCTCAGGCGGAAAAAAATAATCCAGCAGTGGAACCGCTGAACCAGCGAGAGAGCTGTTACAACAAGAGGTTATATATGTGGTGATGGGTAAGCAAGCGGGGTCTGAGCTGGAAAGGAATTCCATCCCCGGACGCAAGCACGTCAGTTGTGTTAATGGGAGAGATTAGGGAAAGAAAGATTAGCGAGAGAGATTAGCATGAAATGAGCTTCCGTCGCCGCATAAGAGTATCATCCCCGCATATGCGCACAACAGCCATGTTAATGGAAGATTGGCACTATGTTGATGGGAGAGATTAGGCAGAGAGATTAGGGGGATTAGCAGGTGAATGTCATGTCTATGTGTAACACAAGCTGTGGCGCTGCCAACTGCGCTGTGAGAGGCAAGCGCGTCCACGTAAGAGAACCACCGCAACGGTGGTCGCGCCAGTGAGACACAGCCCATCACACAGCCAGAACCATCGATATATCGAGGCTAAGGGAGCAGAGGTGGCCATGTTAGTGAGACCCCAGCCCGTTAATGCAGAGGCACCTAACAGGGCAATGCAACTCAGAGAGTCGGAGATAACAGCCAAACGGCAGGGAAGAATGGACGCACCACAGCAAGTTACGACTTTGCTTGGTTAATAACGTCCTTCCAATGATTGCTCAGCTTATAGCCATCTTCTCGGTTGAAATTGTCTTTGTGTTTATATATCTGGATGGTTTCATAGACACATCTTTGATGGTAGCCCGAAGGTTTGCAGAGTACCTTGGTCTCGGAAAAAACAATATCGTGCGAGCCCACTGCGTTATAACAATGATCAGCCACGGCAGAGGTATTGATTCTGCCGTGTTTCAAATCTGCCTTGTGTTCGCGAACATGGTCAGAGACATGTCGTTTCGTTTCCCCAATGTAACTGCTGCCGCAGACACAACTTAGTTTGTAGACACCAGGGTATTGCATGTCAGGAATGACATCCTTCACAGATGGGATCAAATCACGGATTTTGTCTACTGTATTGAATTGGACCTGGATCTTGTGTTTATTTAAGATGTATGGCAAGGTGATGGTTTTGATTGGGTCCTCAGATGGTTGTCTCCCCATGGTTGGGGATACAGCTTTGCGGATTGTGTGTGCTCCAGTTCACTGGCTAGGTGGCGCTGGTCGGAGATGAAGCAGGCCCTATGGCTTCGTGTTCTGATGAGGGAGTTCTTCTTGGCTGGATGGTGGTGGGAGTCAGGCTTTAGATAGGAATCCGTGTGGGTCGTTTTCCTGTAGACGGAATGTCTCAACGAGCCATCAGGCCTCTTGATCAAAACGTCCAGGAATGGTAGCTTGCCATCATTTTCCACTTCCATGGTGAATTTGATGGATGGGTGTATGGAATTGATGTGGTTGAAAAACTGGTTCAGTGCTGGCTGGCCATGTGGCCAGATGACGAATGTGTCATCTACGTATCTCTTCCACAGGGAAGGACGAAGGGTGGATGTTAGGATGGCGTGTGTTTCAAATTTCTCCATGAAAACATTCGCTACCCCTGGTGATAAGGGAGAACCCATAGTGGTACCTTCATTTTGTTTGTAGAATGTACCATTCCAGTTGAAGTAACTGTTGGTAAGGCAGTGCTTCACCAAAGTTGGTACATCAGGATTCAGTCCCTGTTGTACCATGTCTTCAATGATTGCTATGGTGTCAGGTACAGGTACATTCGTGAACCGAGCGACTACATCGAAGCTGACAAGCAATTTATATTTATATCTTTATTTAAATTCAGGAAGAATGCAGTCTGCGCCATTTAGTTCCAGAGGAAGCTCCCTGCACGCGGAGTAAAACGTCAGAAATTGTGCGGAACGATGCGCGGTACAACCGGCAAATGCATCAAAGACAGCTGTGCGGCATCGCCGCTAAAAAAACCTAGTCATATCTCATGGTGTCGATGAGTACTATTGGCTACGTACGGTACAAAAGAAGTTCAACATACGTTGTTGGAGAAAACTTCTCCCAGAATATCCCATGACCAGCAGTGAGGCAAACTCCACGGTGATGCATCTCAGGCATTTCTCCACCGAGTGAGAAGTGAACCATCGGCACTGTCTTTAGGAACAACACTTTTGAGATAAAGTTGAAAAAAATACTTTTGGTTACAGACACTCCAATTCCCCGGAGATAGAGCAGTCCTCCATGCGTCCCGTACTAAACAAAACCAAACTTATTTGGCGTAAACACAGTCTTGGGCGAATCCTGCAAAGTGTGCTGTCTTAATTGCCTGTTCTGGTCAGTGGTGGATCAAGGGGTGGGGGTGGGAGCGGGGGGGGGGGGTGAGGGTGCACCTCCCCTCCCCCCTTCACCACCCCCTTGAGACCCCAATATTTTTTTTTATTTCTACCGATTTGGCCAGATAATACATTACATTCTAGATTTTATGTTTTCGTGACTGCAGGGATCCATACTCTTTGGTTCTTTCGGTAAAGTTACGTAGGTAGAAAAAAATGTTTGTGATTTATTTTATTTTATACCTACGTGACTTTACCGAAAGAACCAAAGAGTATGAATGCAATACATTGTTAGCATTATTAATGTAGGGCCCTATTCAAAAAGCGCGAAACGTTGGGGCTGCCCCCATGGGGAGTTTCTAGGGTCGGCCTCCGGTTCTGGTTCCATGATCCCTGATGACCGAGATCTGAAAACCACAACGCCGTCGATGGCACTGCGATGAAATCTCTAACGTAAAAAGAGTTACGCTTCCCAAATTTATGGAACAGGTAACAATCCCGAACACTCACCACACCCCCTATGAAGCCACATGCATTTTGTATTCCCTTTGTTTATTGCGTGAGGCGCAGGTTTCTGTTTACTTGCAACTGCATCGAAAAATCGGCTGGGTTTTTGTATCGTTTTGATTAGGTGTGTGCGTGTGTTAGAATTGACTACAAGTCTGCTGCTTCGGGGGGTGCTGATTCAGGACTACACGTCTGAACGTTTGAAATGCGACAGTTGAAACTTTAGAGGAAACAAAATAACCGAAGGTTGCTTTTTTTTAGGATGCTATCATTCCCGCAGCAGAGCTTTGGGCATATCGAGGCACACTGGCTCACGCGAGTAAAGCGGGGGATGGACTTTTCGAAATCGGCTTGTCACTTCCATCGCAAACGTGCGCGCGTTATGTAAAGGGTTTCAAGAGGCTGCGTTCGGTTGAGGTTCACATCGTTGGTAATGAAAACGCAAATCAGTTTACGCTCGAATACTCTGTGGGTGCCATACGATACGGAACACTTTGTGACGGCTGTAACAAGAGCTGCATTTCACATCGAGAGCCTGTTTGAAAGACTGGAATTAAATGTCACGTGTGTAATGTTCAACGATTATTATACCATGGCTACAACTGGGTGTTGGGGCTAGTGTCAAGTGCTACATTGGTTCGACAAGGCTAGGACAAAACAGATGGCATGAGAAAGTAAAACCACACTGAAAGAAAACTGAGTGACTTTCACGCATTTGGGAAAGTGGTCTTAAAACGAAGGTTTTAGTCCAAAAAAATATTCAGGTTATGTGCAAAGAAATATTATATTGTAACAAAACATAAGGGGGACACACACACATTTGGAAGGGCAACCGATATTCCTGAATATTGTCTGCCTAAGGGAAATGAATATTATTTCCCATAGGATAAACATACATCCCCTGACACCGGTGTGGATCGGATTGGCCCAAACTCTGCTGCACACCGACGCTTGCGCTGGCTCCGACCCCAGCCGCTGGGACTCAGAACTGCACCGACAACCGTTGACGTGGCTGCAAGTCGCCATCATCGTCGCCGTATCGTGCGCACTGCTTAGTTCACGATTGCGAAAAAAATAAGAATAGGTTTTACGCTTCCTGGCAATACAACAGGTGTTAAGATGTTCAAACAACAAAGAGATACCTTTCGCAAGGAATCAAGTCGAGCATTAACCACACGTACTTGTGGTGAACATACAAACGAACATGCTCCGATAATACAGAGTGTTTTAAAACGATGGACCCGATTTGAAATCGCTATATCTCTGCAACCACTAACCGCCCATAAATGAAACTCTTACCACTTGAAAGGGGCGGGGCATAGAGAGGGCGGGGCATAGAGAGGGCGGGGTATAGAGTTTCATATGATGACCGCTAGATGCCTCTCCCAGCGCACAAACAGCCCCTAGCCTCAGTCATTCGCAAGACAATACTGCCTCAACCTTGGATAGATCGCACGGGACCCCAAGACTTGGCGCTACACTCTTGGCCCCCAAGATCCCCAGACATCACCACACCCTGCAACTTTTTTATTGTGGGGATACGCCAAAGACCCGTGGTGTTTTTGTGCCACCATTAGCGACTAATCTGGATGACCTCAGAAACAGAATCACGGCAGCAGTGACTTCAGTGGAAGAAGACACTTTGAGAGGCGTTTGGGACGAATTCAACTATCGTCTCGATGTTGTCCGTACAGCAGGTGGAGGGCACATAGAGCATTTATAAAATGGTTAGTAAAACTTAATAACCCATTAAACCGTTTGTAACTTTTTGTGTAATTGTAACATGTTGCCGTCGTGAAATATACTGCTTTGAAATTGGGTCCATCATTTTCAAACACCCTGTATACGCATCGTCTTTGAAACTGATTGGCCTACACCTGTTTTTATTTTCTATACTTTCATACTGGCGAAAAGGCGGTTTCGCAGTCGAGCTGTTACTTTAGGGACCCTTTCGTAGTGAGACTCGTCAACTGACCTCACGATCATGGCGATGAGCGCGCCGATGCACCGGTTACGTTTCTATCAATTCCGTCGAACGTTTAGTTACACGCATCACCCGGTACACATGTACGGCAATGCCATTGCGCTAAATAAAAACAAAATGTTAATTTAATGCTGCACGTCATTGTTTTTCTCCCCTCGAAGGCATTTATCACAATTGTGCAAAGAATGTGCTATGTTAAGGTAGGGACGCCTATTGGCCTCCGTAACCTCCACAGTTTGCGTCCACTCGGTGACGAACACGGCTCTTAAAACGGGCGC